TGGTTGTCACAGAACAACTGTAAAGGAGGTTGACTTGAAAATCCAATTTCCTGAAGAAAGTGTAATAGCCACATCAACTCACTCGTATCCGTCATTGTCCTATACTCAGCCTTAGCACTAGATCTCACTATTACGAGTTATTTCTTATTTTTCCATGAGACAATGTTACTTTCTAAAAAAATACAATAACCAGTGGTTGATCTCTAATCAGAAGGAATGTCAACCCAATCAGCATCTGAGAAACCTTCCACTCTAAGATGTCTATTAACTCAATATAACAGCCCAATGCTAAGAGCACGTTTGAGATATCGTAAAATACGAACAACTACCTCCCAATATGGTATTCTAAGACATCCCATAAATTGACTTATTATACTAACTACATAAGAAATATCTGGTCGAGTAATAGTGAGATAATTGAACTTCCCAACCAACCTGCGATACTGACCTGAATTCTCAAACAGTGCACCATTATCCATCAACAATTTTTAATTCAGACCCATAGGAATATCAATTAGTCTATCACCCAGCAAACATGCTTCCTCTAACATGTCAAGTATATATTTCCTCTGAGATAAACAACTACCCTATTTAGATCGAGCCACCTCAATACCCAAGAAATACCTGAATTTTCTCAAATCCTTAATATGAAATTGGTCTTGCAGGAAGGTTTTTTAACTTGATAATTCCCTCAAAATCATTTTCAGTAATCATAATATCATTTACATAAACTACTAATAGAACATATCTGACATCCATCTGTCTATGAAAGACAGAATGGTCTGTTTGACATCAAAGAAGACTAAACTCTAAAACTGCATCTGAAAACTTACCAAACTATGCCCGAAGTGACTGCTTCAAACCATACAAAGCTTTCTTTAACCAACATACACTCTTACCGTACTCCCCCCAAGTAGTAAACCCAGGTGGCTGCTCAATGTATACCCCTTCAACCAAGTCACCATGTAGGAAGGCATTTTTGACATCTAACTAAAACAAAAGTCAATCAAGATTTAACAGCCAAATAAATCAAGATACAAACATAAGAGATTTTGGTAACAAGAGAGAAAGTCTCCTCATAATCAACACCATAGGTCTGAGTAAAACCGTTTCCAACAAGACGAGCTTTAAGACGCTTCATAGAGCCATATGGATTAAAATTAATAATATACCTCAACGACAACTAATAGTTCATTTAACAGGAGGTAAAGGAACAAGATCTCAAGTCCTATTATGATGTAAGGCATCCATCTCTTTCTCCATAACTTTCCCCTAACCCGAATCAGACAACTTATCTTTTAAGTGCTTAGGGATAGAGATAGTAGATAATTGAGAGAAGAGATAGTGGTACAAGAGATGATCCAAAGGCTGAGCAAGTGCTAGAAAATATGGAACAGATTCGTCAAATGTGACATCAGCACGAATAAAGTATTGTCGAAGGGAATGACTATAACAACGAGACCACTTATGTGTACGGGAGTATCCAAGAAATACACATTTGATTGTCCGAGGGTCAAGTTTATCAAACCCGGGGCCCAAGTTATGAACATAACAGACACACCTAAAAACCTTAAAAGGTAAGAAAAATAAGGGCTTACCAAAGAAAATGACAGAATATAGATTTTACCTATTTATCACAAAGGATGACATATGATTAATAAGATGACAAGCAGTGAGAATATCATCACTCCAAAAATATCGAAAAACATTCATCTAGAATAACAGGGCACGGGTGACTTCCAACAAATGATGGTTCTTGCATCAACACCACCATTCTGTGGAGAGGTGCAAGCATAGGAAGTCTGATAAATAATGTCCGTTTTACTAAGATAAGTTGAAAAGGATCAGAATCATATTCTCAAGCATTATCAAAACGTAAAATATGAATATGACAACTATATCGAGTTTTTATTTCCTTACGAAAGGTCTCAAATATAGAGAATAATTCAAAACAAACTGTCATAAGAAACAACCAGGTCACACGAGAATAATCATCTACAAATGACACAAAATAAGTATATTTATTAGATAAAATATTCTTTATTAAACCTCATACATCAAAATGTACCAACTCAAATGGACTAGACATGATTATTAACTCTAGACTGAAAGGACACACGGTAATGCTTACTAAGTTGACAAGCTTTATAAGACATAAACGACACATAACTAAGACTGGGAACTTAGCGCTTCAGATTCTGGAGAGAGAAATGTCTAAAACGACAATGTCATTAAAAAGGAAACAACGGAGTCTGTAGAGCCCAAGTAGGTGAATCAAGGTCAAAGTAATATAGGCCACCAGTTTCATGCCCCGTACTAATCTTCCTCTTCGTCTTTGAGATCCTAAAATACACAATAAGAAGAATAAAAGGTTACGGAACAATTGAGAAAACGAATAATCTTGTTAATAGAAAGTAAATTAAAAAAAAATTTAAGAACAAATAACACGAAAAATAGGGACATATTAGGACTCAAGTGAGTAGTCCCCAAACCTAAAACTTTAGAGCAAGTACCATTAGCAAAATTAACACTATGTGTTGAAGTAACAGATTGATATGTAGAAAAGACACCAGACGCACTAGTCATGCGGTCAAAAGTGCCAAAAGTGCCAAAAGCGCCAGAGTCTACGATTTAGGGACTGCGAGTAGAGGACAATAAACAAGTGAAAGTGATACTTGATTGAGCAAAAATACTAGTGGAGGAAGATGGAACAGCCTATTACTGAGACAAGAACTGAGCATACTTCTCTCGTATAATAGTAACCGACCCAGAGTCTGGTGGAGCTAACCAAAGTATAGAGGCAACATCTGAGGTGTCATCCTGATAAGAAACCTGATTAGCAGTACTAAAAGGTTTTTTTATGTAAATCCTAACAAAAATCAACAATATACCCTCCACAACCACAGTGAGTACAGAAACAAGGTCCACTACGGCCCCTACGACTGCCCGAACGGCCTCTTATACGACCTCTTCGACCTCCACCACCACGATTACCACCTCCACCTTAATGACCATCACTATGGCTATTAGGAACCATAAGAGTTGAGCATTCAACAGAGACATCTTGATCAATGCCTGAAGGACCAATATACAAAATAGCACACCGTAAACGAGAGAAAACCTCAAGCAGAGAGAGAAGAGTAGAACCATCCAAAATCTAAGAGCGAATAGACTTATATTCAGGTTTCAATCCTACTAAAAATCAAACAATATTCCAATCCTCATGTTGCTTTTGTCAAACTGCTACATTAGTAGTGAACGGATGATAAAACTTCAACTCCTCACAAATTTCCCGAACATGAGAGTAATAATCCTCGAGACTTAGAGTACCCTACTCCTCACAAATTCTCTAAACATCAATTTGACGTTGTCTGTGAGAAAAGACAAAATTTTCTACTACCTTACTACTCCATGGCAATCACGACCAGGTCGATGAATCAACAACCGGGAGTCAACAACCAGGAGACAACAACCCGGCCCCCCGAGAGGAGGTGCCACCTCCCCTTGCACCCTCAGAACCATCCACTGCCGCAACTCCCGTAGGTGGGCAACAACTTTTACAAACCATGAAGCTATTGATAAACCACAATCAACAAATCATTCAATTGATACTCACCCAAGGAGGCATCGCCTCTCAGCCTGTAGGAGAAGCACCACTCCCTCCGGCAAGGAAAGTATCGCAACCTCTCTATTTTGGGCGCCAAGCCGCCCCCCACCACGGAGCCCCGCTCTAGAGCGCTCCCATCCAGCATGCCTCGCCCAGGAGTCCCTCCTCAACGTGTAAGAAGCTCACGTGTTCCCCCCCTTATATACCTGCGCAAGAGAACAAGGGAAAAAATCAATAGGCCGATCATGAAAGCCATTACAATGACCCGACAAAGGATTTCTTCAACCAATACGACGAGAAGATCAAGGAAGTGAAAAACTAACTCGATGACGCCATGAACGCCATCAAAGCACAGGCGCTCGAGACGGTGGATTACTTGGTAAGGTGCACTAATACCTCATTCGTTGCAGTTGTTGTCAGTTACCCCTACCCTCAATGTTCAAGATGTCTGCCATCAAGATCTTTGACGGTACCAAGGACCCTTAGGATCATCTCGACATGTGTAAGTCTCTCATGCAACTCCACAACATGCCTAATAAGATCATATGTAGAACTTTCACCACCACCCTGAAAGAGTCTGCTCGACAATGATTCGCAAAGATCAAACCCTTTTTTTATCCACTCTTTCGCGGAGCTAGGAAAATCCTTGATCTCCCACTTCATTGGAAGAAACCGGCATCAGAAGCCTATTACCCCCACCTACTTACCATCAAGCAGGAAAGGGATGAAAGTCTCAGGAGCTACCTCACTCATTTCAACGAGGAGGCTCTCCAGATAGAGGAGCCAAACAATAAAGTAGCCCTAGCCGCCTTCATTACAGGTCTGCGCTCCTCTAGTTTTATGTTTTTCATCCTCAAGAAGCCGTCCTCCAACATGTTCGAGCTACTATCAAGGACACAAAAGTATATGAACGCCAAGGACGTCATCAAAGCTCGGTGATATGAGTCCTCCCGAGGAAGGAAAAAAATGAAGGACACCTGTAAAGACAAGCACAAGGCAGAGAACAAGAGAAAGAAAACCGAGAGAGAGTCTCTGCTAAGGATCGTTTTGATCTCGTATCCCTGAGAGAACGATAGCCCTTCACGCCACTCAACGCCTCAATCTGCAAAGTCTCCAACTCCTTTGTCTTCTTTGCCTACTGATCCACCTTTTGGCTCACCACACCTCTCCATTTACATATCTCCCCACTAAAGCAGTCCTTATTAAATCCCTCTCAATAAACCTCTCCCAATCTTCAATGGAAATTCCAAATACCCAAAGAAAAAAAGTGGCAAGGAGGAAAGGGTAAAGTGGATTCTATAAATAATAGCCCCTTAAAACCCTAAGAAGAGGAAATGCCTTAAATTGGGAAAAAAGGGGTTTTGATGAGGAATCCTCTCCAACCTGATGACAGTACTACAACAAAAAGATATAGAGAGGTTCAAGCTCAGCGGAGACTCACCATAAGGAAGGAAAGCCAAAGTTGTGGATGCCTAATCATGGAGTTATCAGAAGCTTTTGTCATTGAGGTAAATGAAGAAACTACCATGGCAAAGAAGAAAACTTTTGGCCGTCTAACAGAGGAAGGTAACACCGTGAGGAACAAGAAATCCTTTTTGGGCAATGGGGCTCACTCATGCCCTCAAACCCTTTTTGCCACCACTAGGGCTTAGGGCATGGGGCAAATGACAAGCCCAGATTTAACTAGGTCAGACCCAATAAATCAAGTAAGCCCAAATCAGCTAAAAAACTGGTCAATCTCAGTTCGTGAATTCGACCCGACCCAGGATTCGAAGAAAAAGAATTAGAACACGTGAGAAGCAATTATCAGGATACTCACTCTCGAAGATCAAGACAACCTTTTATGACACTTATTTTTTTGTAACAACCCGGAGAATTATTACCTTTGCCCTCACATCACCACCTTAACCACGGTTCTGCGCCAATAAATTGTAAGCTCTCTCTATATGAGAGGACATTCCTTAATATCTCTTGAGATCTCTCTGCATCTCTCTTTACACAAATAACGTTTTTCTCTCCTAACTATTGTATCCCTCCCAAAATTAATCATTGTTCTCTCATTCACTTTATTTTATCAATAAAAGTCTTCTGACTACCATTGCCGTTTTCTAAAGTGGAGTAGGTCACTCAAACCGAACCACTATATATCTGTATGTTGACCTGATATTTACATTATTACCATTGATTGCTCTATTAAATATTCATTAATTATATTTTATCACACACTCGATTGTTAATCTAGCACGAGACTATTTTGTGTATCATCAATAATCATAAATTTTGATTTAAATGAATTGTAATGCTTGATTCAAAGCAAGACACTCATAAAATTATTTATTTTATTATTTTCACAATCAGTGATTATGAACAAATCAAAACACAATTTTTGGCTCACAAAAAAATTTGGTATAATACAATTTCAATACTATTGTGATATAGTAACAACTATATTTTTTTTCCTATTTATACATTGGATATGTATGTATTATTTTACAAAAATTATGGATAATAGTGGAATTTAGACTTCTAAACTTTAATGACCGAATCAACTTCGCGAGAAGTTGAAAAGCTCCGTTTTCAGAGACTACCGAAAGAGGCTCCTTCAAAACGTGCATCTGGAAGATGCACTTACCGCAAAAGTCACTTTTTGATGGTGCATCAAACGGTGAAAGCAACGGCAGAAGCACTTGCATCCATAGGAAGCCCATTTTGATTGTCAGCCAAACAGACCCGTAATATTTTTTGAAAGTCTATCACAAGAAGTCCATTTGTAAAGTCCATTCTACAAATCGACTTTCATTTTGAAAAGTTATGCCAAATGCAACCCTTATTTGTTTGAGAAGTGCTTCCATTTACGGGATGGACTTTTGAGTTGTCCAACAAATACACCCTAAAATCATCAGGAAGCGCAATTTACACTTCATGCTTTAAACTAGTAGTGGCACAAATCCTGAATTAGGTAACAAAGAATTATGTAGATATTCACATACCAGGGAATATATTTGACCGGGAAGCCATCAGCTTCAGTGCGAACTCTGACGAGGGAATCGGGAACTCTCTTGTTGAGTTCTTTGAGTATTTCTGAGAGTGGTCTGCTTAGTCCAGATGTGGGAGTGGCGTCGTCGTCTTCTTGTGGTATTTCGTCAGAGGCCACCACACTCTCTTCTTTTTCTGTCATCCTATTAAGACCATAAGAAGAAGAAGGCTTGGCAGCGAACCAACGGCACGAAGAAGAGTTTCGCGACACCGATTTTGCGAGTGATCCTACCAGAGACGACGCCATAGGTATATTAGGAAGTAGCACACAAGTCGCAAAACCAATGGCCCTTCTCAAGAGTTTTGCTGAGTTTTTCCGGGTAAGGCTCCCTCCAATTCGACTGATCCTACAATTTTAAGGATCGATTTACGTTAGTACATTTAACTCATTTAATATTTTAAAATTTAAATTTATTTTAACAAGAAAAAATTTGTTCACATCAAAATATTCTTAGTGAATTAGAGCATCCTCTAATTATTTAAGAATCAAAGAGGAATCAAACTCAATTTTTCTAATCATGGGGGGGGGGGGGGGGGGTAATTTAGTGGTTAAATTTAACATTTAATAATTCAGAGGTTTAAGATTTAATCTCATCTTACACTTTTTAAGAACTAATCATCTTTATTCATTTAGAGATATGTTTTAACCTAACTCAACAGTGGCCAATTATTTAGTAAAACCAAAAAAACTCAATTTTTTTTCCATTCCAAACCACTTTCAAACTCTTTTCTCAATCTCACGTAATTTTGATAAATGGGATTATAAATAACTTCTTCTTTATAAAAACCATGTTTATCATATACAACATCACAAACTAATTTTTATGCCTTAAAAAGTTTGTTATTTTTAGGATGGGAAACTCGATGTGGATCTTCCTTCATGATTACGCAAGTGAAGTAATAGGCACTTTACCTAAAGGGGGGTGAATAAGTTTTTCAATTTTTGCTCAATTAATTACTAATAAAAAAACATAAACCACCATAATTACTTATTCTCACAAAGAATGTGAGAACCCCTTTATTCACTGCCCCAAAAAATCATGACCATTGATTTTATTTAATCTTGAATTTTTTTTTTTTGGTGAAAAAAAGGGGTGGGGGCAAGGAAGAGAGTCCAGCAACCACCCTGTTAGACCATCACAGGTGGGATCATAAAGGCCCCTGACCATGCTTGGAACACTTCTAGGGACTAAATCTAGTTAGGTTAGCATAGTAGCCAACTACCGAGCCCTAATGAGGACTCCAAGACTCGAACTTCTAACCTCAAGGTGAGGAATTAGGTCGATACCACCACTAGACCACCCTACTCAGTGGTAATTAATCTTGAATTAATTTACTCACAATCAATATTACAACGATCATAATCCCAAATTTGCACATTATGGTTGAATAGATAGTCAATCAATCAATTCAACAAACACATAGTACACGTATGTGCTCACAATAACAAGTGTATATGAAATATGCAAGCTCATTTTAGGATTTTTCCCATAAATCCTCCTCGGAAAAAATCACAGGGAACCTTTTTGGTTCACCAAAGCCTAATCCACTAGTCATTAAGTAAACATACAATTACTCGAAGGTGTTTAAACTTGAGAAGGATAGATAGATAAGCTTCTAAATATTTTTAGGTCAAAATAATATCACCATTGAATTCAAAAAATCGAAAAACCTTAGAAGAGGTTATATATGGTGTATTAGAAGTAAAGAAATATTCTGGAGTTAAAGAGTATTTTAGAAAAAATTCGGGTAAGAAAGAATTTGACACTATTCAGAATTCCGATTGAGCTAATTTTTGGACAGTAGAAATTATACTTCAAGGGCTACAAAAGTGTAATTCACGAAAATTTCGTACCGTCCAAACACCCCCAGAACCGTCCAGAATCCTCTCTAAAAATGACCCTGGTTAGTTTTTAGGGTTTTCTCCATCTTCACCCTAAAAATACCATAAGGACATCCCTTTAACTATGTTTCATTAGTTTTCAATCCTAAACAACCCTAGAGGGCGAGAGCGAAGGAGAAAACACAAAAGTCGAAGGGATTCTTGCATTGAGATTAATTCAAACACGTTAGGGCTATCTTTAAACATCGGAGTAAGGTGGGGGATTCTTCTCAAGTTCTCTCATTAAGACTTAGGCTATTATTTATATATGTTTTGAAAGTTCTTGACTATTATATGTTAAATAACTGTTCGTTCTTGATTCTTTTTCAAGTAACATGTGATTTTTAACTAGATACATGTCTTGCGTTCAAGAAACATTGTTCTTGAATTTTCAAAACCCTAGTTTTTCCTAAACACATGTTTATTGTGAAAGACTTATTGCTTCTTGAATTCTAAAATTCCTATTATTGATTAAATTAGGTTTGCAAATAACTTCTTCTTCTTCTTGTTGTTCCAACAAATTGTGATTTTTGGCAAAACCCTAAATTTTGGATATCGAAATTGTAAGGTTCTTGTTATGATCTCTAGCATATTTTTATTCTTCTTATTATTATTAAGTTTATTAGGAACTGTGAAATTGTAATATTTGAATTTTTATTGTGATTGATTATGATTACGGTTGTTGTGAAAATTGTGGTTTCATTTCTTATATGATTTGGGTGTGACAGACTTGAATTACCTTCAAGAGCTATAGTAGAGTATTAGAGGTTAGTTTATCCAATGGGGGTAAAATGGTTGTCTAATACTTGTAGTGGATTGTTATTTATGAGAGTAACTATTATTGTTACATAAGTTCGAGACTAAGGGATGATATACCTTTCCTGAGAAGGATTTGTCAACGTTGTGTGAAAACAGTGTACGTCATTCCTAAAGTGATTTTGTGATTTGTCCATGAGGGAAATATTTGAGATTGTGAGTTTGTAGAGGGTGAACGAGGTAGTATTGTTGTGTAGATTCTTGAAAAGCAACCAACATACATGAGACTATGAGATAATGTTACTGAGTTGTTTATTTATTGATTTAATCCTTAAATGTTATTCTTGCTATGGATTTATGGTATTCCGTACACTTGAGATCATTATAATTGTCATGATTTTAATTTTAAAGTTTATTATTTTAAAACCTTATTTGGATTTAAGAATGATCTCCTACGGGCTTTTTTTTTTTTTTTAAAGAAAAAAGAAAATTTTATTAATTAAACTCAAAATTACAAGAAGCAAATCAAAAACTATTTTAAGACAAAACAGTAACTGAATTTACAAAAAATGAAAAAACAGAAAAATTGTATACAAACAAATTTCCTATTTTGTAATCTTTGAACTGCCATCTATGCCTTTGCCAAACTACTAAACCAGCTAAAGATAAACCAGTTGGAGCACAACAAAATCTCCTTTCAAAAGACACAACAATATCAGCATTCATCAGATCAGCAAATTGCAGCACCTCTTGCTAACTACTCAACCAGAAGG